ACATTCAGGTGGGAAGTTAGAAAAGTGTTGAACATCACTGGAATAATCAAAGGATTAATCAAGTAGTCAATTAAGAACTACAAACGCCAATAGATTAAAACAATTTTCTCAAGGTTTTCGAATGCATGGCCGGTTATTTGACCTGATCTGTATATAACATAACGTTTCTGCTTTTTTCTTTTTTTTCTTTCTTTCTTTCTTTCTTTCTTTCTTTCTTTCTTTCTTTCTTTCTTTTTGTATTACTTTATCAAACCAAAAGCTTTAAATGCCCGCAAGACGTTGTCTCCACCACTTTAAATGTAAACGAGTTGTAACAACTGATAAACATTTCATGAATAAATAAATCATTCTTCTTTCAATTTTCACGGGTCAAGGAAAAATAAACAATATAATCAAAGGCTTAAGAACATAGTCCTCGTTGTGAAAGTCCACAGAAGACCACATCAGCCGGTAGTCGTCAAACACATCATCAAACTTATTACTAATTCTGTTACTAGTTGTAGCTTGATTGAGGTACGGCAAAAACTGTGGAACAAAAAAGTGGAGCACAATGAACGTTATACTTAGTAGAATTAGGACTAAAACAGCTGTTTAATAAAATGTCGGGAAAATACAGATACATTATGCTTTTCGTTAATTGCTTTACTTTCCATTAATCAAAATTTAGGCTTTTGTTTGACGCACTTGTGAGAATAGATTAGACCAACTTATAAAGCAACTTTTTTGATTCGGCGATTCTTTAAAAACAAAATAGATTCGTTCGGCTTTGCCAAAGACCGGAAATTGACAGTCGGTGTTTTTTACTTTCCATCTCCAACAAAATTGACTTTAGCATCGAATTGCTTCCTTAATGAGACAGATCTTGCCTGTAAAGCGATCAGTGGTCTAGTAGGCGAGATCATAACTACAGTTTGTCTGGATCAAAGAGGTTACTGTAACTAATAGAATGCATACGAATCAAGCGCCATGGGATAATAATAATGATAGTAATAATAATGATGATAACAACAACAACAACAATAGTAATAATAATAACAACAACAATAATAATAATAATAATAATGATAATAATAATAATAATAATAATAATAATAACACTTAAATGCATTATGAAATAACTGTTATGAATGTCGCGTTCTGATTGGCTTGGAGCGCGTGCTTTATGAGAGCACATTGCACGCGCGCGCACTTTCCGTTGCGTCGTTCCTATCTATTATTGTAATTTATATTTCATAAAAGAAATTAAAAACTTGCTTGCTGTGCTGTGTGCCGTTATAAAGCACTTGGGGGTTGGCAGAACACGAGAGAAGTGTTAGGAGAAGTACGACGCGTAGCAGAGTGCTTTATGACTCCGCCCAGCACGCGCGCGCGTTTTCTATTTCTTCAATTTTCCATTCTCTAATATAGTCAAATTCGTAAACTAAAGCAAGAGAAATATACATAGATATATGTGTATATAAAACTTTATAAAAAATTGAATTCCCGAGAGCAAACGGATCCTATTATTATGCCATCTAAGCACAAGCAGCAAGAGCTGTATATATGGGCGTGGCACTTGCTGATGCAAGGACTCTATAGCAGAGTCTTTTTGGAGTCTTTAAAATAACATCCATATTCTGATATCCGAAAGAGTTTCTAAGAAAGAAAAAATAGAACTCAAGGGATTGACTTAAGAAAGAAACAATACGCTATTATAGAAAGCTCTAAGGACAAACCAAGATACGATACACGTCAATACATACTTCAATTTATTTTATATGATTCTGGTAGAGAAAGACTAATAGTACTCTAGGGAATGGCATGCATGTGGCTAAAACGAAAAACCTTACACCCAATCAAGAAATATCTGTTATAAACGAAGAATGGCTTACAAGTGATAGAGGTTTTATTCTAAAAGTTCGTCAGCGTTTTTATGTTTTTGTTTGTTTGTTTTGTTTTTGTGTGTTTTTTTTCGTTTGTTTGTGTGTTTTGCTTTGTTTTTTGTTTTTGTTTTTGTTTTGTTTATGTTTGTTTTTTCGTTTTTTTGATTTTTTTTGTTTGTTTGTTTGTTTGTTTGTTTATTTATTTATTCTTTCTTTCTTTCTTCTTCTTCTTCTTTTACTAAAATCTTAAAAAGTTTTTTTTCGATGGTCTTTGTTTAACTAGACATTTTATCGTCATTATTGCCCATGCTCTACTTCCAGGATCGGCTTTCTTCTAATGTGCTTCCATGGCAACGATCGCACACTTACAATTAAACCTTGTGAGAAATATGAGCTCATAATGATCAACAATACAATATACACTCGATTGCAGAAACGTTGTAGTATACATTTATACATATATCTAATCTATTCAGTATATTTAATGATATTCAAAACAGAAAACTCGCTTTATTTATTGTTTGTTTCATTCAATGACTGTCAAAATATTTTTTCTTGTCTATTAGATCGTACAGATTATAAATCAGTTGGTTTTAAGCGTTGAAAATGGTTATTTTGCATTATGCATCTCATTAGATATTTGTATAAATGTATAAATGTAAACTAGGCAACTTCTGCAATCGAGTGTATATATAATTATCCGAATAGTTTTTCATGTTTCTATTGCTAGTCAGACGTTTCAACCATTTACCAATGGCCTTCAGCAGTAAAAATGACCATATGAATGATATGAATCCTGACTGCAAATTTGAGATATCTTACAAAAAATATATATAAATGCTGGTTAACATTTTATATACTGATTTTATACATAGAAGAAGCCATACTCAAAAACTCTTGCTGTTTGATTATTAAGGTTCGTCAGTTCTGTATTCATTTCGACTGAGTGACTATGGAAGTAAATTTTGTTTTCTTCGTGGAAATGAACTGCGCTTGGTGATATAGAAAATACAGTATGTGGTATAGTGATCACTGTTGATTAACACTGAAAATACAGTATGTGGTAGGGATGTTGATGAAGATAATTAGGTACGGAAATGATGACGAGACTAAATGATAATGATGGTTATGCTAGAAGGATAAGAAAAACATGCAGATAGGAATAGCACCGAAATATAAACAAGAAAACTAAGAATAACTAAAATACTGAGTAATGCTCAAGATGTTATCACTGATCGAGATATAAATTTCGTGCTCACAGTAACATTCTTTCCCCTTTTCTTTTTATTCAAAAACGTCTGCATGTTCAAACACTATTTCATATTCCACCTTTCGATATAATTATGACTATGGAATAAAATGGGCAATTGCTTTGTCTGAAAGGGTTTTTACCTCGATGAATAATGAATGTGTTTGAGTGAGATCCAATTTTCTATGCATTCAAGATCAGGTTTTATCTCTTACACTGAACTTGAAACATCTCGAACGATCTGGTAAGGTTGTGTATATTGAACTTGTTCACAAAGTAAGGTTTAGAATTAAAATACGCAACACTGCTTTGATAAGATATACACTGAAGAAGTCTATATGGAGCCGTGTTATCAAGGTTACCAGAATTTCTGCATATCACTGTATATTTAGCAATTATTCGCCGAAGGCGAAGTGAATATCGGGGAATATTTACCGAGACGCGAGTCTTCGAGCGGTGAGGTAAATATTCTCCATATTCACTGAGCCTGAGGCGAATAATTGTTTTAGCATATACTAAATTGTGTACAGAGTAACTTATTTTTATATACAATAATTAAATAAAAACAAACAAACAGAAACTTTTAGTTTGTGTGACAAATTCACGCAAAACTTTTAGCAAAACTTTTAGCAAAACGTTTAGGCCATACTTCGTTGCCTTTTTAGTATTGATAGGAATGGCATTTGCTTTCATTTTTTCAATTTCCTCATCGGAAATTGTAGCAAAATGATTGCCAGCAGATGCCATTTTGTTGCCGACTCAATATTCCGAGATTCAGAGGTGAATATCGTACAATATTCAACTCCAATTAACCAATGAGCGCGCGCGTTCTTAGGAAGTACACAAGTTGGTATATGCTAAATATATATATATATACTGCCGCGTGAAGTAAATTACGCCTCCTGTTGTTTAGCCTGCGTAGCGGCCCAAATGGGGAGGGGAGGGCCGCTACGCAGGCTACCTGTTGTTTGGAGGTGATCATTATTTAAACTGCCTTATCTTATGTTGTTCTTGGTTTTTACCCAATCTTATTAAATAAGGCCTTTTAGCAGCGTGTGGCTTAGCAATGAGCTGAGTATCTCACTGACAACCATGATATATATTACGACCCATTATGCCAAAACCTGGTTCACCAAAATATAACCTAGATTGTGACCTGTCGATATTTGGAGGGGACTAAGCTAAATCTGTAATTGAGGAACCAAAATGGATCTTATTATTTATGCCAAAGAAGCCATTTCTTCTATTTTCCCCTGCCTTTCGTTTCTCTCCCCTCTTTATTCATTCCCACTAGGATATGATTCTTCTCTTCCTTTTCGTTTCTAACTTACTAACTTTATTCTTCCATGCTTGTTATCCGCAGACTTCAGGGAATTCATGTGCTCTTTATACGTTTCCACGCGCGGGACAATGGAACAAAAGCTTCGATGGGCCTTTAGCATATACGACATCAATGGAGATGGTTTTATCACTAAACAGGAAATGTACCGGATAGTTGATGCTCTTTATAAATCTGCAGGCGACAACCCCAACACAAACCCAAGCCTTGTCTCTCAGTGGGACGAACTCACCCCAGAAGAACGTACTCTCAAAGTCTTTCGAACCTTTGATACGAATCGGGACGGACTGCTCTCTCTGGAAGAATTCCTAGAGGGAGCAAAAAAGGATAAAACCTTGGCTTTAATACTTGAAAATCAGGCTGAACAATTTTGATTCTCGTCGTTTTTGAATTTTTGATAGATTTTGAAGTGCAACATTCAATTCTTTTAGAAAATAGCTATGTTTGTATATGCCGTTCCCTTAAGATATGTTTAACAAAAAACAAGATCAAATCCAAACATCACCAGTAAAGGACAGTGTTAATGTTGAACATTCATACAATCCTATAGCCATCGAGCACCAACAGCATCAGTTTTTTTGCTTACAAGAAATGAGTCTTGCACATGACAACACATCCTGGATAATGACGTATCAAGCGCATAGCCGCTGGTCTAACACTGCAGTAGCTCGTAGTCGGCACAGGAACTAGCAGTTTGAACCAAATTCAAAATACCGTTGGAGCTAATTATCTTCTACTGAAAAGACAGATGAGTGTTGGTGTTAAATGAATAATTGGAGAAGTAAAGTTTTCAAAGCAAGGACTCAAGGCAGTTCCACGGACAGGACAGACAAACTTCTGTGCAGTGATATTCTTAGGAATGGTGTGAATTTATCTTTTCTGTGGAACTGCAAGAACCAACAGAAAGAAAGAAATGGGAAAAATAAATCCTGGTTGTAAATCAAGGGTCTTGAAAAAGCTGAGCAGGAGCTGAGTAACTCGAGGACAAACAATGAGAACAAATCAAAAAGAGAAGAAAAAAAGAAGAATGATAAAGTAATGAGCAAGGAAGTATTCTGTAAAGTACATTGCAAGCATCGGGGGGAATGACTGTTTGGGTTTAGACGTCGACAACGAAAACTAAAGAAGGTAGAAAGACAAAGACCATAATGTAAGAAACGTCACTCGTATACGTGCAGCACTTTATTTATTAAAATGCATAGTGCGTATCCCTTCTATTGCAGAGCCCCTTACTGATTTGAAATCAAAGTACTGACGGTCAGTCTTGTATTAGTCCGAGGATCATATGCTACTAACGAATCATGATCTTTCTCGTGAATTCTATAATATTTGATATTTAGTCTAATGGCGCGCGCGGCTGCAGATCCAAACCATCACGTGATATCAGACTGAACACTTATCTCTTCACTTGACAAATCTCTCGCGCTTCAAATTTACGATAGATTATCTCAGTTTTAATCCATTCCCACCAGGCTTCTAAGATTATTACTGCGGAGATTAAATAATTAAACCTGTTTGAAGTTAGCCGGCGCGCGGGTGATTAAGAAGATTAGTTTGGCTTGGTCCAGCAACTGGGGATAAATGACGTTAATCTGCAGTGCTTGTGTGTTTCTAGGCTCAGATATGACATTCTATTAATTACGAGTTACTAATTGATTTAAGAAATATAGGATATTCCTGATGATCCATAAGACAATTTCAATGTCATTTTTTACCATAAAATATAGAAGTGTAATAATGCGGATACAATAGCTATACAATTCTGCTATAATTCAGACTGTTTCTCAAGGTGCCCGCTCACCTTATTCAAAACCAAGAATCTGAACAGACCACGGAAAGCCATGAACGACTCAATCCAGAATGGGACTTCCGGAATTAGGTCCAAAACAATATTAGAAGATTTTACAATAAAAATAGAAAAGTAATTGTTTCCTCTGTAAAAAAGGAACAAAATACACTCATAGAATTGGCATATTTGGAACACTGGATGTGATTAAGGTGCGTGCGTCTCGACCTTGAGAAAAAGTTTGTAGAATAGACGTAATCATAATGTTGGATGGCACAAAACATTGGTATAAAAAAAATTATTGGATGTCCAAAAGGCAAAGGGTCGAGAGTTTAAATTGTCTCCCAAATGGAATTTTTCGCGAAGAGGTATTTAGACTCAGGCCGCCTTAAATTGTAAATAGGACAGAAAGAATTGGCAGGCACTTTCTTGTTGTATGAGGATATGGGAAACTCCTCTTTCATTAGACGGTAGTTAAATAATTACCATACATAACAAAGATTATAGCAATATAAATAGAGAAAATACTGAGAAACCAAGTGAAGTAAAAGCTTTTGTCAGTGAACCTTCCCAGCGGCAGCATGTCGAACCAGGGAATCAAAGTTTGATCTTTCGCAAGGAAATTGCTTTTTTTTAATGTTGTTAATGCTGAATGTAAGCAAACATTACGCGCGAAGAAGAGTAATGCAATAAAGAACTGATGTAAAAAAATGATGTAAAAAAAGTTGAAAATCTTAACTGGATACAATAAAATATTGGATAGAATAGATTAGAATTCACGTCGGCTACCGACAGAGATTAGATAATTTTAATCCAAAATACAAAAGCTGTGTCATGACAAAATATTCGGGACATTTGCTTCTAATTTTTGAAACTCTGTCCCAGGCCTCCCCATTTTACCCCTAAATCATAGCAAAATGAAAAAAGATTTTCGATCAACTTTTAATTTTTGTGATGTTATGACTTACTTCATTACAATCAGATTCCAATCATTTAGTTATTTTGCTATCTAGAAATGCTAAATAACTGTGAAATAATTTTAAAAAGTCCTGTCATTTTGACCTTGAAGTTGATGAGATGCATATGAAGGAATGTACGGAGTTCGACCGCGCGGCCATCGCGTTGGCGGAATGAAATTCAAATTTTGTTCTTTGTCAATCACGAAATGACCAATGAACACTTGGTTCAGTAAAATACTGGGATGTATTGAAGGTTTTGGTGGGAAATTGAACTTGATTGGCGCAAAAAAGTCCCGTCATTTTGCAACTTTTTCGAAGCACCGTTCTTCGTTTACAATAATAGTCAGTATCTTGTTTCGTCTTCTTCTGTTCCCTTGTTAGTTTGTCGGAGGTTCTGGTAAATGAAGATAAATGAAATATCGACGCTGAAAACATAGTCGATAAGAAACCCCTGCATTTCTGTATCTAGAAGTGTTTCATATGACGTCATAGCAGCCATGTTTGAGGGCAAAACAAAGGAAATTTTCTCCTTTGGGAAATTGTCACAAAAATATTGCATTACTCCTGAACACAAACATAACTGCCGTGAAAAAACCTCTATACAGTGGGTTGTTATAAAAACAGTGTAGTAAACCTTAAAGGGACCGTATAGCACATGGTACAAGATATCAGAAAAACAGAAAAGTACTTGATGTATGTATTCTAGGCAACAACATGTAGTCGAAGTATTCGACAAAAACGAAGCGAAATGACATTAGTGTGGACGAGGCATTAGTTCTGCTCGTATCTAATACTTAAACTATATTCAGTTGGTGACCGTTGGTGTCCGTAATCAAGACCTAAAGCAAATTCGCAGTATGGTGGCACGAATTATTTACGGCTATGCCGTAGATTTCGTAGCCTCCTTTGCAGACATTATTTGTGTTGTCTCTTATCCCTCCCCACCAGGGGGGGGGGGGGAGACACAAATAACGTCTGCAAAGGAGGATATAGATCTCGGCCTCGACATTGCTATCCAGTGATTAATCAAGGAGCTCAGCCGAGGGTAAGTCGGGCCCAAGACCCGGGGAGGGGGGGGGGGTACTGCCCTATATCTGCTATACGGGTACGTGCCGCCAAACAGGGTATGGTTTTCAGCGATTATACTCTGGAACAGGGTATATTGAATCGCGCTCGCTCTGGGACAGGGTATATGAAATCACGCTCTCTCCTCTCTGGAACAGGTAATGATTTTCAGCGATTTTGCTCTGGAACAGGGTATGAATTTCAGCGACTTTACTCTAGAGCAGGGTCAGGGTTCAGTGGGCTCAGCGGCACATCCCTACCCTAAACGGACAAGAGTACCCCCCCTCCCCCGGTCTCTAGACCATGTAAGATTACCCCTTGCTATGATTAGCAATGTTTGGTATGTCTATCTAGTTTGTAAGCTCCTATGGTTTCCTTAGTCCGTGTGGGAGGTGTCGTGAAACCTTGACTAAAAGACAGACATGCGCAGACTGTACAAAGTACCATAAATGTATACGGAAGGTGGTTTTACCCTAATACGAAAATGCTTTTAAGATATGACAAAAAAGCAAACCCCTTGAAATAAGTTTTTCAAATCAATCCATTCCATTCATCAAATTAAAAAATTATTTTTTTATTTAGAGTTAGTCCAACGAGCTAATTCATTGCACCATCAACCTAAGAAGTCATGTAAAGAGTGAGTATTGTTTTCTCTCTCTTTCTTCTTCGCGCAGTACTATACTGATCGGTTCCGGGGGAGGCTGTTGGTTTTCATTTTCTGTATTTTTTTAATTCAATATCTATGACGCACTCCCTAAAATCTTGCATGCCTCTCGACATTAGGGATCTACAGACCTTTGGCTAAACCTATTGATGATTTATCACAAATCCCACGCTCTGATTGGTTGAGCTACTAGTCGTCTATAAGTGACAGATTGCTTTTAGCGAAAAAGAGCCGGTTTTGGAAACAAAATCAATGGCAGCTAACTCGCGTTTTCAACCTAATCCAAAAGTTTTTTTTATTATTTCACCGGTTATTAGGTTTATAATAAAATAATTAGACCTCTCGCCCTCATGGTCTACGAGTCAATAGTCCATTTAGCCTTCGGGTCTAATGGACTACTAAGACGATGCCGCGGCCATCTTGAATCACGAGGCATTGCCCACTTTAAAAATGAGTTGAGGACTGGGAACGAGAGTTACGGCGCTTCCTAAGTGCTTTATTACTGAACGGAGCACGGAAAAAATTGTTTTATTCGTTTTATTATGTAGTTACTAATTTTATTTCGGTATTGAATTTATTTACGCAAAAAGAAAGACGGTCGCCGGATCTAGCAGAACCTCGCTTGCGCGGATGGCGTCAGCACTGTGCTCCGTTCACTAATAAAGCACAGTTTTCGACCAATCAGCGCGCGTGTACTAATATCCTAACTATAACTAAATAACAATAATGGCGTATAGATTAACATTTAGGGTTTACAAGAAGACAATTTGAAAAGAGTTAAATTAAAATACATGCACAGCTCCACAACTGAAGAAATTTCTCAAATATCGTGGAGTCATTTCAGCATCTTTTATTTTGTTTTGCGTCCTGGGTGAACCATAATGCATTGCGATTCAAGATGGCCGCCGAATCGAAGTAGTACATTGCTAAGCATTTTAATCCCTTCCTTACACCTTTCCCTACACCAGTTCCTACACCCCCTTCCTACACCCTTTCCCTGCAACCTTCCCTACACCCCTTCCCTACACCTCTTCTCTACACCCCTTCTCTGCAACCCTTCCCTACACCCCTTCTTTACACGCCTTTCCTACACCCCTACTCTACACCTCTTCCCTACACCAGTTCCCTGCAACCACCCTTTCCTACACCCTTCCCTACACCCTTTCATTACACCCCTTCCCTTCATCCCTACTCTACACCCCTTCCCTATACCCTTCCCTACAACCCTTCCCTACGCCCCTTCCCTACACCCCTACTCTACACCACTTCCCTACACATTTCCCTACACCCTTCCCGACTCTCCTTCATTTCACCCCTTCCCTACTCCCCTACCCTACACCCCTTCCATTCACCCTTCCCTACAACCCTTCCCTACATCCCTACTATACACCCCTTCCCTACACCCTTCCCTACAACCTTTCCCTACACCCCTTCCCTACACCCCTACTCTAAGCCCCTTTTCTACACCCCTTCCCTGCAGCCCTTGTTATACTCTCCCCTATTACCCCCGAACCCTTGCTGCATAGAAGCTTTGACCTAAATGGTACACGGGAAGTACGTTCATTAGATGTATCTATTGATACAACGTTTGCGTTTACTCTCCCTCCCATACACCCCCGAATCCTTGCTACTTAGAAGCTTTGACCGAAATGATACATGGGAAGTACGTTTATTAGATCTATTTAGTGATACAAATTCTCCAATGTCCGGGCTTCAGCAAGTATTTCATATCGACTGTGTATCTCAAATGAATACATCAGGGCCCGGTCGTACAAAGGGTGGATAGCGCTATCCGACGGATAAATCTTATCCAGTGAAAAAATTTATTGGATAACAGCATCGACTTATCCACTGGATAAGGATTTATCCGTTGGATAGCGCTATCCAGGCTTCGTACAACTGAGCCCAGAGGATTAGCTATTGCCCAGAACACCTTTTGGTCTAAGCTATCAAAGTGATATATGAGCAAGTGACTGAACGGCCTAATTGTGTGTACACATTATTTCAGTCAAATAAAAAGTCTCAATAATTTTTTTCTTAGTTTATTTCAACAAATTAAGTAACAAGTTTTTAATTACTTCCAATAAGATAAGTTAATCGGACAAAATGCATAAATGCCTTTGCCTTGTAGCGTATAATAAATAAATAATATATCAAGAATTGTGGATGCATTGATGCTTTGAAAAAACTTTGTCCAGGACAATTCTTGTTATGGAAACAACCCATAAAACGGCATGGCTGCCAGGTTCGATGACAAACAAAACCAATCACGAATCTTTTGGTAATGGCATCCAACATGGTGACAGCAATGACGTTTCATGAACACTATAATACACAGAAGCGTCCTTCCTTTTGCCCTGGTCAAAGAGTTGTATAGCATATCGTAAGAGCCGAATGGACGACGTTATTCTATTCTTTGAAGATAAATTATTACTCTTACAAGTAAAAATCCCGTAACTAAAACATGAAGAATAAAAAAGTGGACAAAAAGCTAGAGAAATAGTGTTCAGAAAGAGCGAATAAAAAAGGCCAAAGCATAACTAGCATTTGACAAGAATGTGTAGAATGGAAAAAGAAAAACAAAAGTTTTTTTCATCATGTAATTTATACACTAGAATTACGGATAAGCGATGATGCTGTCTATGATCCGTGATCTATCACAGCTGTGAATAATATTTTAATATATTCAACTGTTCCACGAACGTTTTCACGCCCTTTTCAAAAGCTGTTTAAAAACTTGCCTTGGTTAAGTTAATTGCCTGGTTCCTGCCTATACTTTCCATATCCAAACCTTTTGGTGTTAATTGTAATCAGCACATTTTCGTGACCACAACGTTAGCAAACGTATAAATGGCTGTCCAGGCATCGATAGACAAAATAACCTTTATTGTCCAGGGTGCAGTGTGCGACGTGATAACGTGATAATATCTGATTCAGATTCTGATATTTTTCAAATACAAGCTTTACATTTGTGACAAAACGTCGGCTACTGACGCGTAAGATATATGTACATCATTGATTCTCAGATCAAGTTTGTTCTTCTACAATAAACTGGCACCAGTAATTGCTTCCAAAGGGCTAGTCTGTGTCGTTTGTACATTAAGAGTTACTCACTTTACTTACATCGACTGACTCTTTCACTAACTGTACAGGTTTTACACTTGACGGTGCAACACCAAACGTACCGACACTCGCACCTTATCTTCTTAATCACTGTCTTTGTCCTGTAACCACGATTGCAGCAAATATATTTACAACTTCCTTTTCCACGACGTTTCTTGGGGTTACATATTCTTCCCCTTGTCCCGTAAGATCCTTTTCTTAGGTTTTTGACGCAGTACTTTGGAGAATTTACCAGTGATATAAGATCTTTTGTAGAGTAGCGTTGTTGGCCCATTTTGAGCTTCATGATTCTCTTATTCCGATTTGACTTGACTTTTTTGTTGGCTACCAGAATAGTTTTCTCGTATTTCTTCCTCAGGTGCGTTGCAACTTTCCTAAACTCGCTCAGGCGTCGAAAGCAAATCTTAGTTTGACAGGAGCCTGAAACCCCAAGACACTTGCAGATGATCTCCATGTTATCGCGCACGGCCTGGGAATGATAGAAATGTCATTAGCATACTTTTTAGCTAACCAACTCAACTCTAACAATTTTACAGTAAGGCATGTTCTAGGTTCAAGTTTCTATCTTTCCAAATTACGGTTGATGTGACGTCATAGCCGCCATGTTGGTTGACTAGATATTGAAGACTTGGTAATGATTTTTTTTATCACTGTCAACCAACATGGCGGCCACGCCAAGGGAAGTATGGCATGTACGTGACCTAGGACAAGACAAACTTGCCATGAAAAATTGCCATGAAATAGTACATGCCCAAAATTCCAAAGAATTCATGTTTGAGTATCATTTTCATATATATAACTCCTCTGGTGCAACTATTAAAGAAAGATAGAATGGTAAAGGGAATGCAAACATGCCAACACGCAATAAGTCTTTATATGGACATCAAAAGGGAGTAAGAAAATACATATGAACTTTATCCCTAATGAGGTGTTATGTATTACTTTTCACTTGACAAACATTTGTGCGCCATATTTGTGAATAGCGTTTAAGTTCGCGTCCCATTGAAGATACCGCTACGGAACATTCGAGAACTAAAAACACAAACAAATTTTGCTCAACATGAAATGATGGCTTGAAGATTTACAAGCTGGAAAAGCCATCAAATACATATCTTAAGCACCACTTGTTCGTTGTCATCAGTGGATTATAGGATATAGATAAATTATAAGATAAAGTTCGTGTTGAGTTTTCATTAGTGCAGCCACTAAATCATGAGCAATCATGGTTCTATTGAATTGCAAAATGAATGTTTCCACATGATTTGCGCTCCTCGAATACAAAGGACGGCCGCCTCAGAGAGCTGACTATTGATTATGAACTTTAAAAGCAAGGAAAAAATTTGTAGAAACTGTTACGTCTTACCATGTTTGCGCTGATAACAACTTAAACACAAAAGGTTTTTTTTTTTTTTTTTTTGAAGCGAAATCGTTTTGGGAAAGGTTGAAAGATGTTCATATATAACTGTTCAAGCCACGTTCAAACTGTCCAATTTTGGAAGAGCAATATTCTATATCCTCCTCGTCCTATATCCTCGAATCCATCCTATATAAAAAGATAATTATCTTGAAATTTCCCTCTACTAAATCTCTTACGCCTCTCAAGTTAAAGCATCAACCCGGCTAAAAGCACCTTAGTTAATCCTTACGCATTATTTCTTAGTGTGGTCCACCTTATCTCAGTAACACATCAAGGCATTAGTTCTTCATAGAGTCATTACTATCTCATTTAAAGTGCACCGCCACATACGACTTAACATTTAGATTAACTTACCAAATCCTTAAAAATATCGACCCTAACACCTAATCTAATCACAGTCAGCAGGATTTGCCGGAAAGCGCTTTTCTTATAAAGGAAATAAATAAGTGGGTAGGGTCGGCATTGACCAGTCAAACTTTGTGGAGTCTTTCGTGTGTCCCGGCCACGAAGGATAACGTATGTCCTATTTAAATAATTACTGATCTTATCAAAATCCATTGTTTTCAGTCTGCATTATCCCAACGAATGCATAGAGAAAAATCAGACATATTTAGTTCATTCATTATTGGCTTTGTTTCTATGATAAACAAGCTAGAAAGAAAACAATTGGATTTTGATAAGAACAATAATAATACTAGATAATCACTTCGGCACGCCGCATTCGTAGGTATAATGCAGGCAGCTGAGGGCGTAGCCCGAAGCTGCCTGCATTATACCTACGAATGCTGCGTGCCTCAGTAATTATCTATTAAATAATAACTATTTATAACGCTTCATAGTTGAATTATTATCTAGTTTCTACCTCGATTTAAGCTTTTTACAAATCTCAAAAATTGAGTCTTAATGTTTTCGACATCAACGAAATACTACAAAACATAGAATACCGCATACCTTTGATAGCAAAACCCCGCACTAAGCGCGCGGGCTTTGATATTTCGAATTACACAAAACTGACAAATATAACTAAGGTGGAAACTAGAGTACCTTACTGTTTTTTGGCATAAAATAAAGTTCTGAGGCCCCAAAAAAAGCAAACTAAACTGTTAGAAAAAAAGATGGCGAACTGCCATCAGAAGGAATTTCTTGACCTGTGGCACCTTCATTCTTATAGTCATCAAGAGATTACTGGCGATAAACGCCAAACGCCTTGAACCAGGTTGTATTGAGTGTTAATAGTGTAATCGACCTTCTTGATAAATCCGAAGACTGACTCAGACGACAACGCTTTTCGTTATTCCAACCTAACAGATGCTCAGTTGGTAGGGGAAATACCTGCCATGCTTTGTTAGTAGCATGGTGGGTGTTGAAGAAAAGAGGGGATCCATGATATGGTAGCGCTGATGCAACCTAACCCCCTCCCCACGGGAAAGTCTTGGTACATGCCTGATCCCTTTAGTAGTTATATTGACATTGCGGCGAGAATTCTAAAAATATATAACACATTACTTATTGATTTTTTACCCCTGCAGTATTCTAGTCGACATAAGAAAGCTTCAGCATCTTCATGTATGAGAAGAGAAAACTTCTGAAATCAGTAGGAACTGAATACATCAATGGAAGACCTTCGGCACGACCTCGCCGACACTCTCTTTCACTAATAAAATAGCTTAGATATTCAATCTAATGTTATTAACAGATGTCTGAAGGAAACGAGTTCATAAATTAGAGTTGCGATGTCTGTAAATATTCGATAGCCAGTCTACAGAAGTATTATAAGCAAGACAGATTGTCATGGATTTGTCTATTAACAAAAGTCTGCTAGTCTCATTAATCCAGTACTGGGTAATTAAAACGGCATTTTTGAAGATCAAACAAATGATAAATTATACTGACATTGTCCATAAGAGTCTATAATGGGCCCCCTGTGGTGTAGGGTCCCAAAGTATCATGGTCCGTCATTGATATGGATATTTGGAAAATAGACTGTTGAAATGATGTAAGTGCGAGGCGTTTGAGCAACCTGCCTGACACATCCATTCGATAGCCTTGAGCGTGAAGGTATGATAGATTAGAAATAAATGCCAGAAACAAAGAAATGTATTGCCTTACAATTTGAAATAATGTAAAACGAACGACCGTGCAGTGTTCAATAAGCAATCATTACTAATACTTCCTATTTTCCTTTCTCTTATCCTTGTTTTCTTTGATATATCATGTTAGTCAATGCGCCAACGTTCTAGGGAAAAACACAACCCTTCCCCTTCTTTATACCTATACACCTATAGACTAAAGGCCAAGATGGCTGCTCACTTCGATACTAGCTCTAGTCAGACTGGGGTTCATCAGAAATCTAAAGCAAGGAAATGAATTTGAGTCGCTGCACTGAATAGTTTGACTGAAGTAATGTTACCAACATTCTATAAATATTTCCCAGTGCGGTTTCCGGATTTCTTCTTGATAATCTTGTATTGATAATCTTGTAAATCAAAGAGATATTTGCACTGGCCAAAACACAAGGGAACACRTTTGATACGTTAAGCGTATAAACGATATACAAAGTTGGTTATACAAACCCATCGACGTTTWAAAAAAAACCATAACTGTAAATCTCAGTGTGTTTTTTTACTTATTCTTGTGTTATCTGTTTCTGTTCTTTAAGATCTTTTGTTAGCGAGAAGTTCCAAAGTGTTTTCACTAGTTAACGGACACGGGTCTTTTCGGACAGATTACCGGGTACCTGCGTAAGAGATAATCCCTCTTCTACTAAATCCAATACATATATACTGAAGTAATCCGTCCGGACTGGGGAAAACCAACTGAAAGTTAGAATGAGTAGATGTTGAAACGTGGTTCGACAAATATCATCAAAACCAAGAAATTTTTGAAATTGTCTATGGAGAAATATACATGGGGCAAAAAATCCCCAGCTCAAAGGCGGTCATGTTGGAGGATGTTGGCTTTATGAAATATCCAATATGGCTGACATCCCTTGGCGGTTCTATGCAGTTTTTTTTTCTTACTGCGAATAACAAAACATTTTAAAACTGAACTTATTCGTCATGAAGTGATATTAACGAAATACGAAACCGTGTGGTATGAGGCATATCTCCAGTGGCAGGAAGATTCGGCAACATGTTCCGTCATGTTGGACAAGCTTTTAGATAGTTTCGTGCAGTCGGTTTCCTTCAAGAGTGTCAAGTCAATGATCTAGCCTAATGTCTCAAGATCCAGCCTTATCACTGACAACATCTATCTGATAAGCTGACATCGAGAATTCATTTGCAAACAATAAAACTATAATCTATGTCCACTCGCCTTTGTAGTCACGGATACCTTAGACGAGGCTAAATTTAATGTATTTTCTAGAGCAAGCGTCGTCTTTTTCTGATTAATTACGATGATTAGTTAAATATATATATATATATATTGCCTTTTTTATGCCAAATTTTAAGCAAGCATTTGAAGGGATGGGTCGGGTGCGGCACATACTCGACCACCGGATGGTCAGTCCATCTAGGGGTCTTGCTGTACTGGGGGCATCCACTAAAATCCACGCGACAAGTGAACTATTGCAGACAAATTACCATCTCAATCATTTAACTCCAGTGACATATATTAACTGACCTATTAGGATACACCGAGAAAAAAATATATATTTTAGCTTCGCTCGGCAAGAGAGTAATTCGGTGATACTGATCTAGACACGGGATCCGTCCCACATATTTGCGTCTGTATTGAATTTTTCCAAATGCACACACAACCCGAACAGGTTTTAAGGTAATAAATTGAACAAATTATACTTAGGAAAGATCTTGTTATCATAGAGTACTTTGAATTACAAAAACTGACAAAAGGAGAGAACGTAGGAAATTGTGGTCTACAATTGAACTTAAAAAAAGATTATGTTTAGTTGATGATTGTGATAATTTCCTCCAAAGGGGAAGCAGTAGGGGTCACTGTACTTCGATTTCTTAGGGAAATCCGGTCTAAAACGTTGTCTCGAATAAAATGACCCAAAATTAAGCCAAAACTGAAAAGCAAAAAGATATCTCGTATCATTCTGCTTTATTATAATTTCCTATACACAGACGCGGTATTCTTGGGCTGCATTTCATACAATGCATTCCAAGAAATGCGGTCCATCTCAAGAGATTACATCTCTACATGTAATAACTTGGTGACCAAAATTCTTTAAATAAGCTGCGGTCATATTTTCCCAATTTAGATAAACTCAAGAGATTTATTCCAAACAATGCAAGATACTGTTTGTATTATCTTGTTAAATTAAGAGCTATGCTCCCTCGGATATGAGGAAATTGAACCCTCAATATATACTATCGTAGTAAAAGTGGTCTCAGTTACAGGCGCTGCCTTTTGAAGATATTAAACTTGATAACTTACACTTTGTAAATGCACGTTCATTGTCAGTGGTGCTTTCAAATATCAATTTCGACCTTCAAAGACCAAAATACTTTATTTGCTTTCATTCTCTCTCTCTCTCTTTTTTTTTTTTTTTTTTTTTTTTTTTTTTTTTTTTTTTTTTACCTTATCTTTCTGTTCTCTCGTCCCATTTTTAGCTTATTCCACGCATTCCATTTTTAGCTGATATGTTTTTAATTTGCCTTTTTTTCCTTTTCCGCTTTCTTGCCATTTTCCATCGTTTCTGTCCGTTTTTTTCCTTTTAATTTAAGCTTTCCTTTTGACTCAGTTTTTATCTTTTTTTTTTTCTTGTTTAAATACAACATTATCAAATTCCATACCTCAACCGAGGTGGTCCTATGCAAACACCCTTGATAAACTAGATTATTAAAACATGACGATCTGTTAGAGCTTATGACTTTATGATACACATGTGTTGTTGTTATCAAAAGTTTTTGGTGATTTAGATAAAATTCTCAACCCTCAAAAGCAGAACAATATGAATCAAACTCTTTGTGTATCGCCGTGAGTCATTTGTTAATATTTATCACAAAGAAACAACATACTAACATATTCTAATCAAGATCAATGTTAAGACCACAAATAGAAATATACTGATCGCCTTCGGGTTGTACTATATATTGAACTTGGCAACATTGGTTGCTGTAGCAACTCAGGGTGAACCATAACATCACTTCAAAAATTGTTATTCTACCGATTGAGTGAATACTACAGAAATCTGCAGAAACCTGTAATTATGTCAGTTGGCTCGCAGGTAACTTTTGTTAACAACTAGTAGTTACTAGTAGTTACTAGTTGGGACTGCGTTGGTGTGTTGAATACGACAAGTGAATATGATAAGTGAATAACAATGACAAGTGATTACTAGTTGGGACTGCGTTGTTGTGTTGAATACGACAAGTGAATAAGAATGACTAGTGGTTACTAGTTGAGACTGCGTTGTTGTGTTAAAAACGACAAGTGAATAAGAATGACTAGTGGTTACTAGTTGGGACTGCGTTAGTGTGTTGAATACGACAAGTGAATAAGAACAATGGTGATGTTTCGATCATTAGTACTACGTTGGAGTAACCAGTTATTTACTTCAATCACATTTTTTCTTTATAAATATAGGGCTAATTATTGCATGATATTTGTTCAAACGCTCCCGACCATCTTTTAGCACTAGCACTATATTTAGTGCCTCTAGGCAGCCATGTAGTGCTATCTGAAACTGGACCGGAAGTAGCCTCTTATCACCCACATAAGAGAGATAACCAAATCGTTCACGCATAAACAACGGAGAATGGAATGCATAAGGTCAGGATCAAGCACGGTTTTGAAGCTTAAAATTGCACTTTAAAAGACTGCGCGACTGATATTCAAGGCTCAGTTCAAATGTCTAATTATTCGTCATTTGAACTTGGTTTACTAGTAGAACGACTGCATGCACCTCATACCTAAGTCAAGAAACAAGGTAGTCTACAAGTGGCTTGGAATTGCACCTTGTTTCTTTCAAGTAATGCTAAACAATCAAGTAATAAAAATACTCACCCTTCTTCCTACATTTGTATTGTGAAAATTCATTAATGCTGCGTTAGTCCCTTTGTCTCGGTTCTTCTTCATTCTGTGTTTTTCCACAGCCTCRGTGAATTTCGAACTAAATCTCGTGCCATATGCTATATTATCACTGCATCCACCCCACTTCCAATTGGATCTTTTCAGCTTTAGTTTCGGGTCGCGTCCACAGCCACAACTGTCTAGTTTTCCTGTGCTGCAAGCATGAGTCACTGTGTAGGATACTGCTGCAGCAGAGAGCGCATACACAAATGCTGCCTCTTTTGTTCCTGTAAAAATAAGACTTTAAGTCAGTCCAAAGGAAGTAAATTGTCAAACCAGATTAAACAGAAAAAGTTGTTGAGAGCTCTGCTATGGATTCTTTTTTTGCATCAATTCATGGATTGCTACGACATGGGGTATCCCATTCCAAGTTTTGCCAATCGTGGTCAAAAACAAAAGCAGAAGCAAATAGAAATAATTGATGTTTAACCTATAGAATCAGTAGAATCGACTGTTCAGGGTTATCACAAATAAATAACAATTTGAAAGCGCGGAAAATACAAGATGTTCAAAGAGAATACTTCGCGGGTGTCCTTCAGGTGAAATACTTGGCTGAGTGTTCAGTGAATATGGAGAATGAGAAAATGTGACTCGTTGCCTAGGAAACAAGTTAACATTTTTAATTTTAGCACCACATATGGAAAAATCATTAAAGTGTTCAGTTCAATTCAAAACAGAATACTATCTTGGTTATTTTTAGTGGTTTCTGATATGTTTAGAAAGTATTCAGAAGTGTTATAAATTACTCGATAAACAAACATAATAAACAGAAATAGTATTATCTTGCGCCATAATATTTATAATACGTTTACAAATATCTTTTCATATTTTCCAACCAAACGCTAACGTTCCAAAGGACGGGTGTCAAACACGTGTGTGCTGTCGTTTTCCAGACGACAATCTTTATCCTTCGGTCATTATTTCTAGGTATGGTTCTTATTTGTTTCTCTGTCAGACAAATTCGTTATTATTTTATAAATGTGGCGCATCTGGATTGTCTCAGAGAGTAATATTTGCAAATATTTGAATTTCGAAAAGAACTGGGTTTTTTTCTTGACAAAATAGAGTTAGGTTTAGTTTTTCTTCCATTGTATTCATACATCATGGTGCATCAAGGTAGTTTGATGATTTCGATCAAAATCAGATGCTGATCTACCGCAAGCCAGGACCTCCACGTATACCTCCTCGCATTACGTACTTTAGAAAAGATTTTGTTTGCTTTGCGATAATAAAGTTCAATTGTAAACGTCACAAAATGTGCCAAATAGAACGATGGCTATCTATAAGTCAATTAAAGGTAGACTCCACAATTCCTATGTATGCATTATATTTGTATACTGCACTGTTTTATCTAATTAAGTGGTCAAGACGAGTGAATTCCTTGCGGTAAAAAGCAATGTTCAGTGGACAGCTATTTTTGTTGATAAAGCACAAAGAAAACACCGGGTTTTCTTTCAGGTGAATCTCAAAAAATAACTTTTTAGAAAATCATTTACGTGGGTCTAAGTTTCCTCTGGAAGGAATACGATAGTTGGATTTCCCTGTTACGAAGGAAACACAAGAATCCTAGGACAAAGAACAGCTATTCTGCTTGAAAAACAAAGCATTATTTATTGAATCAAGGGGCCTAATTACTCGTTCAATCAAAAGAAAGCAAACCTCCTAATTGATAACTTAAATAACTACTTGACATCTCGAGTCAGACATCAACATTGTCTTACTATAAAAACAATATAAATTTTTAATTCATTAGTTAAGATTTATGGTGCCGAATAAGAATCAGATTGATCAGTTCGAAATCCTCTTTCTTGTATTTTTATGATTTTACAGTTCAATTGGCATTTGGCTGCTCGAGTTGAAGATTCTCGAGGTCGATCAGTCGAGGCTGATTAAATACCAAACCATCCACAAGAAATAGAAACAGATGGATGTGTTAAAATCAATTCTCATAGTGTCAGTTCTTTATCTTTGAATAGCAAACCTTCATTGAGAAGAATTCGTAGAACACGGTCATAAAAAATTAAAAACGGCCGGTAATCCAAAATCAGGTATGAGCCGACAGAACAATAATGCAATTGTTAAATTTCCCATCAGAATAAAATATCCCTATTTGTTTGCGTTTGTTTTGCCATTATTTCAAGGTTTTCTTGATGGAGTCGAGAAGTGTCTCATGACATTACTTTAAGTGTCTGCTTTAAGCACTTTTACACGTGTGGTGTTAGGGCAAAACACATTTATACTGACAGAACAGTGAAGAGATCTAATAAAAACATTTGCACATCAACCTAACTGATGATAATCGTATACCTACCTCGCTTAAGGTCTGCTAGAAATGTTGGCGCTCTGGAAATACTTGAGCAATTCCATCGATGGCCTTGTAATTGGTGCATACATTCCTCCCGCGTCATTTCCACGGCTTCAGCCACATATTTCATGATAGGTAGATTTCTACGACACATGTTGTACTGTTTTCCGACGAAGCCCTGTCTCTTATGGCAGTCTTTCGTAACCCACGCGTCGTTTGAGTCATGGCTGATTGCCCTATGGAGAACGGAAGAACCATTTATCGTTAATTATGAGTTGTAATCTAGACTTCAGTTAGAGTCACACACTGCCTCGTAAACAACTAACAAAGGCCATCAACAATATCTAGTGCTATTAATAATTGTACACAAAATGTGTAACAAGAAAAATGTCGGTTTTGATGGTGTTAGTCATGGAGAAATTGCTACTTACAGCCATCGGATAGCCTCGGTGGTGTGAAGCATCAAGCTAATCCATACTACAAGTACACCAATATGAAGTGACATCTTCCAAAACAACACACACTTTAGAACGACTTGAAAAAAAATCCTTTGAACCTTGCCGTATGCTTAGTCACTTTTCTTTCTTTTCGACCTGCAAATAGCAAAATTGGGTTTAGTAAATCAATTACTCGGTTCGCTCCAGAAGCATGTTTGGTATAGCCCTCACTCACCCAGAACGAAATTATTATTAAAAAGATAAAGTGAATAGCCAGTGGCCGGCCGGCTGAATTCACACACACGACTCTAGAAGATTGGAGATCATGAAAACATGACCACAGTAGCATCAAAACAAATATAGAGGTGTGAGGCTTTACGAAGTCGATGGACGTGCTATCACCTTTCGCTGGTTTGTTTACCACGTGCATGCAATGAAAACCACTGTGTCAATGGTACATGGCAAACGAATTGGTCAGCTCTAATACGTCTCTGACGCTTGAGATCACTGAACCGTCGAGTGGAGTAATTTACTTAATACCAAGATTCACCTTTAGTTTGCTATATTTAGACACGCCTACTTTAGAGTACGTCGTCAAGCCTCGTATCCATACAGCAAGCAACTTCAGAAAAGCAAGAGATAAAATATATGCCGCTGAATCGCCTCAGTCGGCCAGCAATGTATATTATACATCGATAAAAGAAGGTAACGGATATATCACGATGATCAAGGATTCTGGCTCCTATCTCGTTCCATCACCTTTAGAGTTTTGCAGACGAGTACAAAATACAGTCATTCCATGTAGACGTTGTTGACGCTTTCTCCGGTTTTGATTTGACTCGGTAGAAACGTGAGACAGGATTACAATGCATTTGCTGTCCTATTAAGGAAATGGTTCATACGCCTGCCTCAGGAGATGTTCAGTGAAAGAGATTTTGATGAAAGAGGAGGAGGTAAAACTACAGATGAACTTAAAGTGGGTCAAAACCACAGGGCGCAAGTTCGAAGTGACGAAAGGATGGTGAAGTAACATAGACCGCGAAGCCACTCGCCTGCGTGTTCCATGACACTCACCTTTCTCAAGGCCGAGAACTGTTAATTGGAAACAAATTAAACCGTTTAACGAAGGTTCAAAAAGCAAAAAGCATTTTGAGGCAAGTGACTTCAAACTCTATCTTAAGAATTTCTTTCTTGTTCAGTGGCATTTTTGGCGCAGCGATCAAGAGGAAAGCGACGATCACAATCAACAACTTCAGAATCTACAAGATTTAATACGTAATCTCATATATGATTTGTAAAAATACCTCTTGCGGCCTAAGACAATGCAAGACCCAAGGATTGAAAACAGAGATACAGCCGAGCGTGGCGAAACTAAATGACCATGAAATAAATCGATTATRACGTTTGCAGGTGTTGTACTTCACAGATGGGAAAAGTGCTCCAGGCTAGAACTATGAATAGCATACGAATTTCCGCGGTTATTCTAAATTCAGAAAAGAACAAAGAGGAAATTTTACTTTTTCTAAAAATAAAACGTAATTATGACTTGGAAAAGTTAAACAATGTTTGAAACAATTGAAGGGGCAAAAACCTTTTGACACCGCAACATCTATTTTCAATATCCTCATTTGTCATATAGACAAAATCAATGATAATAAAACCTGATTCGAGTGTTTTCAAAATGACTGAATAACAATCTTCAAAGGATTTTTATTTGAACGCGACTTTGATTGTGCTGGTACCTCGTGGAAGGTTGTTTTTCTAGATATCGTGACATGACCGTAGGACGTACCCCGATAATAAATTCTTTGTAATCGCAAGCTCGCTGCAGGCAACCTATGAAGAGACTCTTGCTGCAGGGCAATTGAAGCACGAAATCATGATGGCAAGTAATAAAGAGCTAATTAACTTAGCTTACTTCTTCCATCTAGATTTTTCCTTTGAGTTTGAAAACAGTGTCCTTAGCAGTCCACTAACCACACTAACAAGACAGCCTACCTGACATTGAAGATAGTTCTGTTGACAGACTGCGTAAACTAATCTAAAGATAATAATGTATAATACTTAAATCTGTTTCTCAATGCAAATATTTGTCTAAATGATCGCTAAACTAGACATTTGTCCTACCCTCCCCTGGGAAAAGATCTAGCTTTTACTATACGTGCAGTTTGGATTCTTTTTGTTATGTCAAGTTCACTGAGCTGCTAACTGAATACTGTCGGCGGTTTTTGTTTATTCTACACCAGGTCACTTTATAAAATCTATAGAAAGAAGCTCATTAAATTAGAAACATTTCAGAGGATTCATGAGATTAGGTAGAGATTAGCCCAAGGCTTTTCGAACCCGGGATCGCCGATGAATCAAACCCCTGTTTTTTTGCGCGCGCCGACTTCAAGTCTACGGAATCATGCAGAACGAACAAAGATAACTTTGATAGGCGTAATCTTTAAATCAACTACCTTCTTTTGGTGCATTAGGATAGTGGCAAGTGAGGAATCTACTGGAAAGAGCAATCCAGTTAATCCGGTACAAGGTGATCCTCTGTACAGCCAATAATTTAAACCTCGATAGCCTGACGATCTGTGGTCGTATCCTCGCTGTTTGATGATATCAAAATGCAGGTCGTTTCGTTTCGTGCTTAACTGCTTCTCTAAAATAATCTTACCACCGCTCCTAACCGAGATAACATCACAACGTTCTGGACAACGTTAACAGACGAATGAGTATGACACAGAGACCTGAAATCAGACCTTCATGAACTGGTCCCGGGGGCTTGGAACCGATTGCTTTACCGATGAAAGTTTATCTGAATGCCAGTGACGACTGACCCCTGACTGAACGGTGCCCTTATGACGTCTAATAGGCCAGTAAAAGGATACTGCTATTCTATGAATGATTTGACGCAATATACAACGATGCAACATAATGGTATTATCTTGAAAAGGGTTCTTCTTGGCATCAGATATGAAGGATTCCCTCGAGGTATAAAAACCTATACATGTTACCACTGAACAAAATGTTACTTCCCACCCCTCCCTGTGTTTTCTTCTGTCCGGATATCTTCACTCTGAAGACATTCTCTAGTGTCTAAGGCCATCCAGCTTAGTCTGTCTTCAGGAATCAAGTAACTCACTGGGGTGTTTCTAGAACCCTAGTGCGAATTCATCAAACGGTTCCGCACACCGTGTGTACACTGATGGTATGAATACTCAATGTTTCTAAATGTGGCACATGAGTTTAATTGTTTGAAGATTAGAACAAAGAAAGTTTGTAGACTCAATTAGTTTTGAAAAAACTAAAGTACAAGCTCTTAGCTGCGAATCGCTGTTGAAACAGAAGAACGGTAAGAATATGGGATGGGCTGCAGACGAACGCACTACCTCTGAGCTGTTTTCCACCTTTTGATACAAATCAACCTTATCTTGGGACAGGTTGTGAAAATATTCAAAACACCAAAACTATATTATTCAGTGCTCGCCTTATCATTTCGCGTTTTCTTTTCTTAGCACTATATTGATTTTACGAGACTTTTACCGGTGAGGTGATCGAAAAGTCTCCTCGTCGCGCGTATAAGTGAGTTAGGGTGAATTACGTTAAATCCAGAACCATCTTGTAAATGTTTGATTATATTCAACGCATTTATTAGTGAGTAAATTCCTTTAGTCTAAACCTACTAATGGTCTATCTCAAATTCTGATTGGCTGAGCCTTTAGTGGTCTAATAGCGAAAGGTGCAGGTTTTGAAAATCGAAACGCAAAAAAGAAAAATCATTTCAACCACAAATTCGTTATTCGGATTTATAGACTATTGACTCGTAGACCACTCGGACTACTGGTCTATTTGTTATTCATGCCGGTCGAGCCAAGGAATTCTATTGTAGCGTGTCTGAGGTTATCTCCAAAAAGTACTTAGAAAGCCGTCTTTCGTTCAAAGGATGAAACTTTTTCTAAATATACCAAATTGTTGTGAAAATTGTATGCCCTGGATTATTCTGGTTGCTTAAAGGATTATTTTAAGGCGGCTCAAGATGATTGGGGAACCTAAATTGGATGAGTTCCGTTGGTACAACGATAACCCCACGAAAACTATCTTCCATATTATTCGTAACTTTAGAAAACTGGSGGGGGGGGGGGGAGGTATTTATTGACTTTGCCGGCTTTCCTCGTCCAAGGCTTATCGAACCTAAAAGTAACTTTCGCTAAACGCTAAACGAAATTAAATTATATATTTATATAAGCAGTCAACGAAACTAGACGACATAAAGCGTTGAGGCCTAGCACATCTGGAGATATGGTCAAACAAAAAAGGATAAATTTAAGAAAAACAGATACTTTCTAAATTAAAAACCCATCTTAAAAAAAAAAATTGCCTGTTGGGGATAAATATTCCCCATAAACCTGGAGTTACGACACATCATATACTGAGGTTAGGATTTCACTGATGGCAGAGGGTTGAGCCTCTATGACCCTAGATTTTTCCCTAAAGCGAATAGGATTTTCTACAAAATAAACTCAAATAACGTCCATTTAAAACATCAGAGTAAATACTCGGCTATCGAGAAGCCTTTTAACATCAATTTACAGGCCGCCATGGGTTAGAGTTCCCGGCGAAAGTCTTGAACAAATAAGAATGAAAGGCGGCCGGTGAAATATTTGTTCGTTAAAGTCAAAATAAGTTGTTAAAAATACGTTCACTAATTACTTAAAATATAGACTTAACTGAAATTTTTGTCAATAAAAAGGAATAAATAAATGATAACTTCAAAGGGCACCATCTGTCATACGTTGACTACAAACTAAAGTTAATTTCGATAACATTGAAACGAGTTTTTAAAAGTGCAAATAGGATCATAAAGTCAGTCGACTCGGCGATGCGATTCTTTTCACATAAAATTTTAGATCAAATTAGAGGCTCAGAATGAACTCAAAGGTTAAAATATATGACATTGTATATACCTAGAATAATAATATACACAAATCAACCCACTGACCTTTACTGATGACAGCACTCGTATGTTTTACACTAGTGATCACTACACGTAGCTAGAAGTCTCAGTTAGAATTAGTTACTATCGTCAACCAACTCAGTTTTGAACGTCTGTGTTGTGACAAACCTTTTATACGTGTATCATTATCAATATAGCTTCCTTGTTTGAT